TTGGGTCATCCAAGGGTCCTCTGAGGCCGTGTTAGATTCTTCCGGAGGCCCTCTTGGGCCAGTTTTGGGCTCTGTTAGGGCTGTCTTCGGCCGTCCAGGGGGCCTCCTGGGCCGTGCTGAGTCCGTCTTGGGGGCCCCTGGATATTTTTGGGGCGCATCTTCACTCGTCGTCGTGATCCGTTTCACCTCGCCGATACTAGACCATCAAACACCGTACATCATACATCATCTTACATCATCAAACATCATGCATCGTAATACATCGCACATCATCAAACATCATACAACAAACATCATACATCATCAAACATCATACATCAAACATCAACCATCATACATCACACGTCATGAAACATCAAACATCATCAAACATCATACATCATCAAACATTGAATACCATACATCATCAAACATTAAACATCAAACATTACACATCATCAAACATCATACATCATCACACATCGAACATGAAACATCAAACATCATACATCATCAAACATCAAACATCACACATTAAACACCAAACATCATTAACTATAAAACATCAAACATAATCAAACATCAACAAACATCAAACATCAAACATCAAACATCATCAAACATACATCAAACATCATCAAACATCAAACATCAAACATCATACATCAAACACCAAACATCATTAAACAGCATACATCAAACACCAAACATCATTCGACATCGTTTAACATCAAACATCAAACATCACACATCAAACATCATTCAACATCAGACATCATACATCAGACATCATACACCATTAATTACCATACATCTTACATAATCAATCACCATACATCAACTATCATACATCATCGTAAATCGTCATACATCATCATACATCATCATACATCACCATACCTCATCAGACATCATCATGCATCATCGTACAACATCATACATCGCCATACATCATCATACATCATCGTACAACATCATACATCATCGTACGTCATACATCATCATACATCATCGTACATCATCATGCATCATCATACATCATCATACATCATACATGAAACACCCACACCCACTCTCACACCCACACCCACATCCACATTTTTTTTGTTAACGCCGTTGGAAACGCGAAACCTCCATCACCACCCGTAAGTCGTCTCACGGACGAACTGCCCGGCCACCATCCCCCGGTCAGCCGTAGTAGTAGTAGTAGTAGTAGTAATATTGTTTTTGTTATTAATTATTATTGTTATTACGAATATTACAGATACTACGAATACTATTACCAGTACGACTTCTTTCAGTACGAGTGCTAGTGATTCCTGCAGCATTTCTCCAGGAATCCTTCACTAAGTCGTTGGAATCCAGCAACTTTGGGAACGTTTTGGCGCACCAGAGTGCCAGCATGGTTCCGGCTCTGTCCGGCCGCATGCATCAGCCCGCGGCCGCAGTGGCGTGTCTCGCGGCGTTCGGTTCGGTGCCTCTGGCTGCTCGTGCCGCTGGCCCCGCTGGGTACACGTGCGGGGCTGTCAAGGACATGTACAAGGATGCGGGGTGCTGCGGCCAGCCGGATGCAACCTTCGACGTCGCCAATTACCAGATCGTTCCAGCGCCAGAGACCAGCGTCATCACCTCGACCAACATGTGTGAAGGCACCAAGCCGACGGCTTCTGGCTTTGATAACTTCGACTGCGCCGACGCGATCACCAGTGCCATCGAGCAGGCCGGCGCCAACGTCACCGAGGGCTACGTGGGCGACATGGCCGTCAATGCCACCCCCTGGAATCGCACGTACCTCGAGGGGGGCCTCTGCCCAGTCAACGTGCACTGGCACTACGGAGCCGAGCACCTATCCGTGGGCCAGTTCGACGAGGACGGCACGGGCAGGAACTTTTCGGAGGAGGACGAGGGCGGAGAAGAAGCGTCGAGGCGCCTGGCAGTAGCCCGCCTCGGCTTCCAGTGCCACTACTTCGACGAGGCCGACCCCAAGTTCACCACCGAGTACGACTGGGCGTACTGCGTCGGCATGCACGTCGGCGAGACCTACGAGGTTCACTGGCCGCATTCGGCCGCCGGCGCCTGCGGCACTCCGTTTCAGTACCAGACGCCCTTCTACGATGGAGTCTTCTGCAGGGGGGCCTCGTACCTCGCTGGAGAACTTCAGAACAAGGTCGGGGTGCAGGCGCAAGTATTCGTCATCGTCAACGACGAGGACTACTTCTACCCCGACCTGATGAGGGGCATGATCATGGACGCCGACGGCGCCGAAGGCTTCGGCGCAGACATTGCCTACTACACGGGCTCGACCACCGGCACGAGCCGCGACAACGAGATATGTTCTGCGTACAGCCCCATCACTTGGCAGGTCGATCGCAAGTGCCACCTTATCTCGGCATCATCTTTCGACAAGATGTGTGCGGATATGCTGCAGCAGAAGGACGACATGACCGATGACCTCCATGCGCACGGGGCCCGTGAGCTCGTCAGTGACGAATTGGCGGCCGACAACCTGCAGCGTTTGTAAGCGCGTCCCGTGTGACATTGTCTTGCGAAGCGCAACGAGCATGACGGCCCGCAGCTGCTGCCGTGTTGACCTCAATGCGGGACAATCTCGACCCCTTCCGCCACCCAGGCCTTCCGCCACAGCGCGGCCTCTTTACGGCGGACTTGTATCTCCTTGGCCCTCCCTGTGTCCTCGCCCTCCTTACTCAGGCTTTCTTTCGAACCGAGTTGCGTGCCCCCCTTTTGACCTCTTAGTCCCGGCGTCGGGGATGGACAGAGCTTCGTGTCGCACCCTCTAGAGCTGATCTGTTGGCTTCAGTGCGTGCCAACCTGATCCCGTTTGCCCAGAGGGCCATCAGTCGGCGGCGAGCGAGGGGGGGAAGTGAGAAGGAGAAAACCTTCTCAGAAGCTTCGGAAGTCCCCCGGCCTCCTGAGCAGTTTTCTGAGCCTTCTCCGAAGACAGAGAAAGCCTCTCAGAAGGCGCAAGGGCTCCTGAGCAGTCCCGCCGCCTTCCGAGAAGGCCTCCTCCTCCTTTTCCCCCTCGCTCGCCGCCGAAGCAGGATCCTGCAGCATCAGCGTGTAAATTTTAAGTTGTCGATTCTCCGAGGCGCCCGCCTGCCACTCAGATCCGAGGCGCTGCGGGCCCGGCGCCGCCCGCGCGGGCCACGGGCGCCGGCGCCAGGGCTGGCCTGCGAGGGGCGGCTGCGGCCTCCTCCTCCTCCTCCTCCTCCTCCTCCTCACACTCCTCACACTCCTCCTCCTCCTCCTCCTCCTCCTCCTCCTCCTCCTCCTCCTCCTCAAATCCCAACCCTCGATCATCAGATCCGAGGCTTCGCCCAGAAAAGGCTTTCCCCAGCACTGCCTCGCCCTTCCCTCTCCGCCGTGGGGCCAGAGGCGCGGCCCCCGCACCGGGGAGTGCCGGCTGCGGCCAGCCCAGCGGCGAGAGCGGGCCCCTTTCCCCCCCCCCCGAAGGGGAAGGGAGATCGTCGGCAGAAACCGGGCTGACCCCAAAGTGGGTCCAGCGACAAGGGTAGGGGAACGAACAGTGGCATAAACATAAAAACTCGGAGGTCCGCGCAAAATTCTCGGATCGGCGCTGGACCCCCCTGGCAGCGCCTCCGGCGCCGCCCCTGGCGCGCTCCGCGCGCCAGGGAGGGGGGGTCCAGCGCCGATCCAGGAAATCTGCGCGAGCCTCCGAGTTGTTATGTTTATTTCATTTCTCGGTTCCCTAAAGGGGGTGGTGCAATAGATTAGGTGCAACAGAGTTGCGGAGCTGCAGTACGTTTGGGGCGTGCAGGACATTCCGGGGCGCAGATGTGTTGCTGGGTTTTCGCGTGCAATGCATTAGCTGCAATACAACGCAATACAATTCTCCGACGTAGTACATTTGCAATACAGTTGCCCCAGATCTATTGCACCACCCCCTTGCAGCTGGACCCCCTTCTGGGTCACCCAAAAGAAAGATAACGATATATATATATAGAGAGAGAGAGCGACTCTACTCGAAGAGAATACGCCATAAACATTCCCAAAGGTCTTGACGGCTATTCGCCAACCGACTTGTGGGGATCTAGCCAGATGAATCCAGGTAGATGCAAGCAAGTCCAGATAAATGCAGATCAATCAAGATAAATCCAGGTAAATCCAGGTAACTCCAAGTAAATCCAGAGATCTTCAGGGACGGTTGAAGCAAATTGCGGCCGCTCTAGTGCGAGTCGAAGGACGTCAGAAATCGTTGAGCCTCTAACGAAACATACCCATCGGTCGTTGAAAGTAGGTACTTCTGGATCCCCAGTTCCCAATCTGCTTTAGCCGCCTTCATACTTCGTTGACCGGTTTTCCCTCTTCCCTCCTCCCCAGGAGGCGGGCGGAAGCCCAATCTGCTTCCAACGCCTTCCGACTTCATGGTTCTGCCTACTTCTTCCGACCGATTGGTAAACTTGTGGCGCTCCGCGCGGATCTCTTGGATCTGTGCTGGGGCGCCCGGGCGGCGCCTCCGGGTGCCGCCCCTGTCGCGCTCCGCGCGCCGGGGAGAGTCCGGAATCCGCGCGGAGCGCCAATAGTTTATGGCGTTTTTCTCTTCTTCGATCTACAGTCGAGACTCAGGAGGGAAATAATCACACGGACACAAATAATCGTCGACTCCCAGGAAAATATAGGGAAATTTGGGAAATGGGGGGGAAGACGAAAACCCAGGAAATATGGGAAACTATGGGAAATCCTGTTATTTGTGTGTATCTATTTGTGTGTCCGAGGGCCCCCTTAGAGACGCGGAAGTCACGGCCACTCTGTGCTCAGGAGAGAAGCTCCAGCTTTCGGGCCTCTCCTCGACTCTGGGCCGGGGGACCTCTGTCAGTGGCCGAGGCTCGCCGTGGCCAGAGAGGCCTCGTCGCTCCCTCGTCCCCGCTTTTTTATGGCAGCACGACGGCTGCAGAGCGCTGACGCCTGGGAGGCCCCCGCGGCCTGGCGGGACCTAGTTTTGCCTGCAGGGCTATGCCCAGGCCCCCGACGTCATGATGCTTTTTTCCATGACGCGACCCCCAGAGGCCCGGACCCATTCCCCGGGACCGGCTTGTCCTCCCGAGTCGTTCTTCGGCGATCCCGAGGCCCGGTGAGGGTCCCCAGAGGCCGAAGCTAGCGAAGAACCTCCCGCCGTGATTCTTGCCTGAACGCGAGGGGGTCTGGGTAAGCAGCCTTCCCCAGGAGGAGGAGGAGGAGGAGGAGGAGGAGGAGGAGGAGGAGGAGGAGGAGGAGGAGGAGGAGGAGGAAGAGGACGAGGAGGAGAAGGAGGAGGAGGAGGAGGAGGAGGAGGAGGAGGAGGAGGAGGCGCAGCGGACCGCTGAAACTGGCCCGCCGGGCGCGTGCGACAGAGGTGAGGCGCCTCTCATGCTCCTCGTGCTGCGGCCGCGAGAGTCACCGCATCGGTGGCGCGCCCCAGGGGGAAGCAGGGCTCACTTCTCAGGGTTCAAGTCGATGATCCTCAGGACGCGTGTTAGCCCAATGTGTGTTTACCCCGTTCAGCCCAACCAGTCGATCATCACATCGCCTTCGTCGTATCGAAGGGCCTCAGTGGGCAAACACACCTTGGCGCTATAGCACACGCTCTGAGGATCATCGATCAAGAGACGGGGGTCAATGCAAACGGGGGTCAGCCAGAGCGCGGGATTTTGCAGGATTCGGCAGCTCCAGGGTCGCATTGACCCGGGTTAGAGTGCAGGATGCTGCAGGATCTTGCAGGATCCTGCAGGGCCAGGGTCGCATTGACCCCAGTTGGGGTGCAGGATCCTGCAGGATTTTGCAGGATCCTGCAAGGCCCGATTGACCCGGGTCTGGATTGACCCGGGTCAGCAGATCCCCGAATTTTGATTCCTCCTATTCGATTCGGTTCGATTTCGATGGCTTCGATTCTGATTCGATTCGACTTTGGGTTCCGATTCGGGATCCGATTCCTTGTTTGAGGCCTGCCAGCCTGCCGATGTCTGCCGATTCGACTTTTTCCGACCCGGCTGTCGATTTCCGCCGATCCGATTAATTTCGATCGCCGATTTGACTTCTCGATTCGGTTCTGGCTTCAGCATGCTTGCATGATTGAATTGTGACCGGCTTCAGCACGGAAGGGGAATTGTTGGAGTGCTTGCACGACGCTACAACATGGAGAGATTTTTCGTTGAACTTTACAAGCCAGTGAAAATTTGCGTGAGCCGCCCTGTTGGAGTGAGCCCCCCTGCCCGCTCTTCCCCGCCTCTCCTCTTTTCCACCCGCACATGATGCAGTTGAACAATCGGTGGGCGTGCCGCTGCTCCCGCAAAGCGGAGAGTACAGGCCAGCATCTTTCGCCCACGCGTTCCGGCGTATGGCTTGACTGACTGACTGATTCGGTTCTGTGTTCTCCTGGGGAAGGCAGAGGGGGCCCTCTCCGAAGCCAGAGGGCTTCTCAGAAGGCGCGAGGGCTTCGGAGAGAAACCACGCCGCCTTCTGAGAAGGCCTGCCCCCTCTCACTTCTCCCCCCCCCAGGGGCGCGCCGCCAAGTCGAGGCGACTCCGAGCGAGGATCCTGGGCGCTTCGGGCGGCGTTTGGGGTCTCGTTCAAAGACGGTGCGTGCTTCGCCCCCCCAGGAAGCTGCCGAGCTGCTGCAGAGCGCGACGTCAAGGCGGCTCAGAGTGAGTATCCGGGGGGGGGCCTCAGGCTTCCGGGGGCTCGCTCAGAGACGACGCGCCCTGCGCCCCTCCCAGGAAGCGGCCACGGGGTGTGAAGCGTGCAGCGACGCTTGGCGTGATCGTGTGGATGCAAGTGGGGGCAGGAGCGGTCAGATCGTGCCCCCATCTCGGCAGGAGGAGGAGGAGGAGGAGGAGGAGGCGGAGGATGAGGAGGAGGAGGAGGAGGAGGAGGAGGAGGAGGAGGAGGAGGAGGAGGAGGAGGAGGAGGACGGACTTAAAAACCCCATCCGCCCTCCCCTGGGCGCTTTTTCTATCTGGTGGAGGCGGCGGGGGGGCCCAGGGCCCAGCCGTCAGGGCGCCGGGGGCCCGTCCTCTCCCCTTCCTCCTCCAACACGTCCTCCTCCTCCTCCCCCCTTCCCATCCCCATCCTCCTTATCCCCTTTTCTCCTCCTCCCCTTCCTCCTCTTCCTCCTCCTCCTCCGCCTCCTTCTCCTCCTTCCCCTCCTCCTCCTCCTCCTCCTCCTCCTCTTCCTCCTCCTCCTCGTCCTCCTCCTCCTCCCTCGTCCCCCTCCGAGCCACGAGGTGGCCCGGGGTGGCCGTGGGGCCTCGCCAGGACAGCCCCGACGAAGGCCCAAAGCCTTCCTTCGGCGGCGAGCGAGGGGGGGGAAGCGAGGAGGAGACTCCTCCTCTTCCTGCTCCTCCTTCCACTCGTCCTCTTCCTCCTCCTCCTCCTCCTCCTCCTCCTCCTCCTCCTCCTCCTCCCCTAGAGGAGCAAAGAGCTGCATAAACATAGTAAATCGGCTGCGAGCGAGGGGGGGAAGTGAGAAGGAGAAGGCCTTCTCGGAAGGCGGCGTGGCTTCTCAGA